TAATTTTCACACTCTGTTTGGTCACCTTTCTTTGGAATGGGAACAAATATAGATCTGTTCCAATCAGTTGGCCAGATTTCTTGGCACAACTCGGTGAGCACATCCAGGGCAGCACCTGTAAGCTGAAATACATCAATTGACATACCATCTATTCCTGGGGCTTTATTTTTTGCTATTTCCTTCAAAGCAGCTTCAACTTCTTCCTTCATCACCATAGGCTCTTGCTCATATGTTGTTTGATGAAATTCTTCTGTGTCTGCCAATTCCTTTCAGTACAGTGACTCTGTATACTCTTGCCATTTTCTTTTAATACTTCCTGGATCATTTAATATTCTGCCCAAAGCATCCTTAAGTATGGCAACTTGAGGTTTGAATTTGTTCTTCAGTTTCTTGAGTTTACGAAATGCTGAGTGGGTTGTACCCTTTTGATTTTCTGACTCCAGCTCCTTGCACATTTCATTGTAATATTTTACTTTGTCTTCCGGCACTGCCTTTTGAAATCTTCTGTTCAGCTCTTTAATATCTTGAATTCTTCCCTCTGTTTTGGCTTCGTGGCACTCTAGTGCAATATTCAGAGTCTCTTCTTACATCCATTTTGGTCTTTTATTCCTCCTGTCTTTGCAATGATCTTTTGGACTCTTCCTGGATGATACTCTCACTTATTGGTGTTCAAGGCCTCAAATCTATCCCAGAGATGGTTCTGAAATTCAGGTGGGATAGACTCAAGGTCATATTTTGGTTTCCACGGATTTAATTTTCCTTAGCTTTAGCTTGAATTTGCATATGAGTATTTTCTGTTCCACAATCAGCACCTAGCCTAGTTTTCACAGCGGATACTGAGCTTCTTCAGCAATTCTTTCCACAGATGTAATCATCTGATTCCTATGCATACCATCAGGTGAAATCTATGTGTATAACCTGTATTTATGTTTCTTATAAAACATATTTGCAACGAATAGGCCATTGATTGTGCAAAATTCAATCATTCTATCTGCAGTTTCATTTCCGTCACTGAGTCAGTGTTTTCCAACTACCGATCCTTCTTCTCTGTTCCCAACTTTTGTATTCCAGTCATCCATTTTTATTAATGCATCTTGACTGCATGTTCGGTCGACCTCTAACTGTAAAAGTTGGTAGAAGTCTTCTATTTCCTCTTCTTTGGCTCTGGTTGTTGGTGCATATATTTGAATGATAGTGGTATTCACTGGACTTCCTTGTATGCATATGGATATTATTGTATATTGTATTTGTATTGTATTTCAAGACAGATCTGGAAATGACTTTTTTTACTATGAAAGCAACCCCATTTTTCCTCACCTTTTCATCTCTGGAGTAATAGATCATATGATCGTCTGACTCAAAATGCCCCATGCCAGTCCATCTCATCACTGCATGCATACATAATCTTATGGATAGCTCACAAAAATCTTTAAGCAAGTTACCTTTCTTGTTCAACAGTTAAGAAGCATGAACATTATTCACAATAACAAGAAAATGGAAAAAGCCCAAACGCCCATGAACAAATGGATTGAGAAACTATGGACGTTCATGCAATGGAATACTATACAGCACCAAGAAACAATGATTTTGTAACATATAACATGGGAGAGTCTAAAGAACATTATGATTAGTGAAATGACTCAGTGTCAGAGAACAAATACTACATAAGGCCATTATTGTGAAAATAGACGGATAACTGAACAAGATGTGTATAAATGTTCAAAAGTGGGGAAAATCACCAGGATAGCAGAATTTAGTGGGTGATTTGGAGAAGTGAAGAAATAAGAAAGATTTGATGGGTTTTTAAAAAGACAGGATGATAACAGGCATAGATCAATAGTACTTATTTATATAAAATACAATGTATATGAATGATTATATAAACCACAATGTACATGAATGAAACACAAAGTATATGCATGACTGTATGCAGACAAATAAGCAAAAGGAAGCATGAGTCCAGAGAAAGAGCAGGCAGGCCAAAGGCCTCTTAGTGACCAGGGTCCTCTTCCTCTTGCCTCAGGGTACACAGTATCTTCCTTGGTCCAGCTGGCTTTTGCCTTCCAGCAGCTGGACCTGAGAATTCCAAGAACCACCAGAATGACTCAAACTTTCCTGGAGAAAGGCAGGTTTAGGAAGTCTACACCTCAATGGACCCAGGTTAAGTCAGATCCGAGGGATTGCCTCTTTGTCCTCTGAGATCCTGGATCCTGATATGGCTTCTCTAAACCAGGACTTGGGAATTGTAGGCTCCCTTCCACAACTGTTTTCTACACTGATATCAATCTCCAGCATCCAGGGGTTTGGGATATGGTGCATGGGTGTGGCGGGGGCACTTAACAAAACTGCCACACATTCCCTGGGAGCTGTGTAATCTAAGCAAAAGAACAGTGAGAAATCCCTGTAAAATTTTATCTGTAAAATAAATACAGATAAGCATTATGAGATGTTTTAACATTACAAGGACTAAGATTTTAGGCAAGTCAAAGCAAGCTTGTCAAAATCTCAGGCAATAATACAGTATAAATCCAGATGAACCGTTATCAAGCACATGATCACCAGCCTTACCACTTAATCTTCTTAACTCCAGTTAACATTTTACAAGTAGCCTATCTCTCCCCAGGCCTAGTTCAATAATTTTTAAGAAAAACTTAAAAGTAATTTTATCCAACACATATTCTAAACATCCCAGTGCTGGGCTGTGATTTGAAGCAGACTGTCCCAGCCTCACCCTTGTCATAAACACTTGATATGGATTCTTTATTTTCACCATAAGTTTACATGCGTGTGGTGAAAAGGGTGTCACAAAAAGTACAAAGGGGTGGTTTGTATGTAAAATCAAAACAAACTTAGATAAGGCTATTCTACCCTACTGTGGAGCTGCAGGCTAGTACAATTCACTTATAAATATTTATTTTGTCATTAGTGTATCCAAAACATTAAGCATGCTGCTGTAGCCACACCTATG